CAGTTTACACCTGTGGTAAGTGTGGATCAGCATCCACGCATTGTTCCCAGAAAATATGTAATAATGGTAGAAAAAAAATCAATGGAATATCGTTTCACTTTTTACAGTGCCTGAACCTGTCTGTGTGTTCAATGACACGACGTATAAGGTAAGAACCCCGTGAACATGACCAAGATATGAAATAAAATATATATTCACTATACTCCAAACTGTATAAATGGCACTGATTTACACTGGCTTGCATAAGTTTTCACCCCTCTTAAACCACATTTTGTAGCTTTAATACCTAAAACTGAAATGGACTTAATTGGGATTTTGCATCATTAATCCTGTACACAATATCCCAGGGGTTATCAGTATAGTTTACAAATTTATTTACAAATAAAAATAATTAAAGATGTGACACAAGTGGTAAGTGGAGGAGTGGTTTAGAGGCAGTCTGTAGAGGGAAGTAGAGAGAGAGAGAGAGAGAGAGAGAGAGAGAGAGAACCAGCTTGTTTATATACCTAGCATAGATAGGTATCAGGTATGCCACATTTATTTGTAGATTGTACAACCCTCCCACTGCAGACTACTGTGAATCAATCAGGGTTGGGTTATAAAAAAAAATATCGCAAACTTTGAACATCCCCCGGAGTACCATTATATCCATTTTTAAAACGTAGCAAGAGTATGGCACTAACAACGGAGTCTGTCAGTGACCGGGTAAGAAGGGCATTACACAGAAAAGCAACAACAGGTAAGTCTCAAAATGAAGCTACCACCATCATGCTTCATCACAGGTTTACGATCCGTAATCTTAAGTAAGTCCTTTTCAGTTCCAGATTATAACATTAAGTATGGAAACATTCAAGGGGTTGAATACTTCTTCCTGATATTGTTGTAGTCGCAGTTGAATATGTGGATTGAATAAACAGATAATAAGACTTTCTCCTTTCAGTTTTCAGTCAGATTTCTCTTTGTCTTGTTGCAGCCTGGTGCATCTGTTCCTAAGGAGAAATGTAATAAGTGTGTGTGTTCCGATGAAGTGGACTCCCAAACTAAACTGCACAAAATCTCATGCACTCCTATTCCCTGTGACACACAATGTCCACTGGTGAGTAGGGAGAGATTCAGCTAGACTTGAGAATGTCTTTCTATGGCGAATGGTAACAACAACAGTGTGTGTGTGTGATAAGAATGACTGTATATGGCATATGATTGACTATAGATTGCATATGAAATGCTGTCAAAATATTACATCGAGCAAATTTGCTAGTTGAGAGAATGCAAATTAATAACTGTCAAACGCTAATGTCTGATGATAATTTCATGGATAAGCAATTGTTCCTAAATCTGTTTTTAGGGATATGAGTACCAGCTTGTTCCAGGGGAGTGCTGTGGAAAATGTGTACAGATCAGCTGCGTGGTTACATCTGGAAATACAACTCAGATTATCAAGGTGAGCTTTTAATATATGAAAAAAGTATAGAAATATAAAATATGAGGTATACGTTACTCAGTAACATTAACGCATAAGATCATAGCAGTCAGAATGTTAAGAAAAAAAAAAGGCAAGAAATACAAAGATCTCATATAAACAGACACTTGGGACATAACTAGACAGGGTATCCCACATTTATTATTATTATTATTATTATTATTATTATTACTACTGGGAACACTGGGGCAAGGTGGGAACATCCTTTCAACACTGGTTATACATTTTAACTTCTGGTTATACATTTTTTTCAATAACTAATTTCTTCTGCGTTTCTTTAGCCTGGCGATTCCTGGACTCCACCTAATGACAAGTGTGTGACTTATAACTGTGTGAAAGACGGGACGCAGTACAATCCTGTAAAGACCCAGCACGTTTGTCCACCATTCTTTGAAGCTGACTGCATTCCGGTGAGTTGCCACAACCATAAAAAGCATAACAATCACACTGGCAACACCATAAGTAGGGATATAATTATATATATAGCTCAAATTTATATACGGTTAATGATGTGCTAGATGTTTTAAGGGAGGGACAGCATTTTAGGCGATCAGCTTACGTTGCCATGGTGGTGTTTGTCTTTGTACTTTAACCCATAATATAATCCTTTCTCTTTTTCTTTATGCAGGAAACAATTGTCACGGTTGATTGCTGCCCTACTTGTAAGTGTTCATTTACATTTAATTAGTTGCTATCGTTTCCAAAAAAAAAAACAAAGTCGGTAGACATTTTATATACAATGACATGCAAGTGAGCAAATCTAATCCAAGCAGTGAATTCTAAACTAAATAAACTGAATTTTTTCTTTTTTAAGGCATGCAGAAGAATAGGGCGTGCAACCTTACCAAGAGCGTCACTTACCTTGAGAGCAACGGCTGCAAGACTGCTGAACCAGTGGAACTGACGGCTTGCGAAGGCTCTTGTGTCACATCGTCCCTGTAAGCTTCAGATTCTACTTCTGTCACATGAAGCAAAGACAGTGCTCTAGATACACGATGAAAACGATTAATGCAATATTTTGTTAGTAGACTTTTATAAGTTTATAATCTTTCTACGACATGTCTGTGTCAGCTTTCACGGGCGAGGTCGATCTTGCACGAACCTCCTATCAGCTTATGACAGCATGAACTGTTTTCATTTCACCACTGAGACATTTGGCACTGAAATGTGTTTCCTAATACCTCAAAATAAAATGATCCACTTTCTCCCTCCACTCCTCAGCTACTCAATGGCAGCCAACACATTCGAGCACTCCTGCTCGTGTTGTCAGGAAGTGTCCACCAGCAAGAAGGAAGCAGAATTCATCTGTCCGGACGGATCAAAAGTCACCCACACATACGTCTATGTTGAGAAGTGCAGCTGCTATGAGAGAGAGTGCACGCTGAAGGAGATTCCTCCCGCCAAGCAGCAGCGGCGTAGGCGCCGGTGATCAAATGTGGAACTCAAATGTCTTAATTTTCTCTAATCAATGTTAATCTATTTATGACTCTATTTACACGAATCAGTTAAAGAATCAACTAAAGAATTGTGACGACTGAAGAACAATCTTCAGTGTTTTTTTTTCCCTGTAATTCCTTTCTGATGCTTAAAACCTAATAAACATCAGCAATCAACATGTCGCATCTCCTTTGTGTGAAACTGCATCTAGTGATGTTAATATTAAGAATATATATATATATATATTTATAACGCTTGATAGATTGCTGTTAGTAAATGGCAGAAGAAAAGCTTTTTAAAAATCACCATAAACATTAAATCGGTATCACATGACGTCACCTTTAATGAGTTATTTGTCAGGTGACCATCTGTGGTTACAGTGACAGTAATATATAATATACTTCAACTTCCAAAAATCCCATTGTTGTATATAGAGTAGATGTGATTGACATTAAGGTGAAATACACACAGGAAAGGGTGTGATCCGGCCTTTAGTCATACAAGTCAATTTTGTACACTCAACACACAGCAAGAAGCATAATGGAAAAGCACATCATGCACTTTATAGCATCTTAAAGTAGAAAATCACTTACCACAATGATCAAATAGGGGATTTATTCCAATTTTACTCACCCGGGTGATGCCACAGTAGAGTCTTCTTAATACAGCCGTTCCATTTAAAGAGTGAAACTGAACAAATTAATATGGATAACAGTTTTTCCTCTCATGGATTTTATAAGGGACATATTTAGAGTTACACATGCACACTGGGTAACTGAGTTCTTACCAAAATTAATAAACAGACTTACAGTATGTAAGTACTACATGAGTATTATGTATTATATCCTGTTCAGTCACTGGTGGCAACTCTCTCAAGTAAACACAGCATTTGTCACACCTGCCCAAGCTTCACACTTTGGAGGACTAGTGGTTAAGCCACAGCGCTCTCACCACTAGAGCCTGGGTTCGATTCCCGGCCAGGGCTCCAACCCTAGCCAGTGGGGTTGCATGCAATAGTGTGCTCTCAGCGCTGATACAAAGCCTGGATAAAATTGGGGATGGTTGTGTCAGGAAGGGCATCCGGTGTAAAAGCTGTGCCAAATCAAATAGGCGGACCAATGAGCCGCTGTGGCAACCCTTAACGGGAGCAGCTGAAAGACGAACAACAACTAAAATGAGCTACAGGCAAGCCCAAGACCCCCAGTGAGGTGAAAGTAGAGGAAAGAAGTGACCACCGATAAGAATGTAACTATGAGAAGATGGCTTGATAGGGTCAACATTCATATACCGGCACATCTACCTCTGCTGGTAAACATCCTCAGGATGCAGCACAAAGGTGGAGTTAAGCCTCACCTATGCTCCTAAGACAAGGAACCAGGTTAACAACCCATGTAAAATCTGCTATTTCATTGCCTTAGAAGTTAAAGGTTCTTAAAATTGCACTGTATATGTTTTTACCCTCATCTTAATCTGCTGTTCGAAAAGTTCAATACGAGGAACTACAGCATCTTCCTACAAATAACTTAATAAAAAAAAATCATAAACATGAAACTCAGCATGAGGGGTTTAATCACTGCAGAAAACGCTGACTAGACGAGAGAAAAAAAATGTGTCCAGTGAATGCTAGGCGGGTGAAAATAACAGCTCATCAATAGCAATCAGCCATTTGACCACGGGCCTTGGGCCTTGACCACGAGGGATTCCAACACAATGAAAACAAACATTACTTTACTTCCAGCTGTACAGGACCACGTGTCCAGAGTGAATCAAAACCCATACTTCTTCACTCCAACCCTACTATATCCAAGATAGCACTGCATTTAAAAATTAGCTTGCTAACATTCTAAACAAAGAGACTGTTAGCCTAAGTGCATGAACACACCACTTGTGCATGACTGTGGAACACTACAAGGGTTACAAAACCATTTCTAAGGCTCTGGGTCTCCAACAAACCACAGTGAGGGCCATTATCTCCAAATGGAAAAAGCTTGGAGTAGTGGTTAACCTTACCAGTAGTGGTCAGCCTATCAACATTCCTCCAAACAACACATCGACAACTCATCCAGGAAGTCACAACAAAACCCAAACGAACATCTAAGGAACTGCAGACCTCGCTCATCTTAGATAAGGTCAGCGTTCATGATTCCACCATTTGAAAGAGACTGGGCAAAAATGGTGAACATGTGAGAGGTACAAGGTGAAAACCACTGCTAACCAAGACAAGCATAAACGCCCTTCTTATATTTGCCAAAAAAACACCTTGATGACCTGGATGATACTTTTTCACTTGAGTCACCTAGGTGTGGCGTAACCCTTTCATTCGGTAAATGAAATGATCATTTAATTGTGCAGAAATTGGAGGAAATTAGCAAGGGTGCAAATTATTTTTCAACAGCATACCATACGCATCGTTATAAATTTGATTTTAAATTTAAATTTAAGTTTGTCCAACAAATCTTCAATTTTTGAGGACTGAATTATTTTTGGAATTACTCCAATAGGTCTTATAAGTAGGTGGCTTTCCACTTGCTGTTTTTAAAATATGGGTCTGATTGGTCTTTTACTGAATAATATATGACATTAAAAAAATGCCCACCGTCATGATACAATTCAAGCATGAGATAAACTGGCAGTGTGCAGGCATCCTCCCTCTGTACATATTTATTCCTCTTACCGTGGTACAAAAGTAACCTTTACATAAAAGAGCCTCTTGCTCTGGCACATGTCAGCCCAGCACATTAATCATCCATTTGTGTATTTGAATTACACTGTCAAAGCCTTTGCTTTCATTCCCTATATCCTGAATTGAGTTCTTTCCCCTAGGATGTTAGACTTCATATATTTACTTAGTCTCTGTGAAATAATAGTTTTGCTCAAGAGTAGGTCCACCTACAGTATGCACCTTGACAAACAGGCTGTGTTTCAATAAGTACATACCTCTGGCAAATTAAGGCTGGAGGAACAGTTTGAAGGTTGAAATGTTGAGTTAAAAGTTGCTGTGCACTTAATATTTATGCGAATTATTCCCTTTCATATTATTAGGTTCATTTTGTGCAAAAAACAAGCTACCAACTATTGCTATATGCTAATTATTCCACATTAATGATGTTTTTTCATTTACTTAGTGGTTATACAAACTTCCATTCATTAACTCTATCAGTATTTGAATAGTAATAGGCAGAAGGCACATCCTGTTTAATTATAATAGGAATTATGTCATTTTATTAAGTACAGTATATCTTACAATGGCAAATTCATTGTTTTAAGCTCCTTCAATACCGATACTGTTTATCTGACTAAAATATTAAGGACACTTCCTTTTGGAGACGATGTTTTTTTCTTCTTCTCCATATTCTGTATACAGTATGTTATGTAATCTGTTTTGTATCTGAATGTTCTTGCCATTTTCTGACCACACCCCTGCATTAATAATGCTTATTTATGTGCATATACAGTATAAATCCCATACGCTGATAAAAAATCTCACATTAAGATGCTTCTAAAGCCTTGATAAACCATCAAAAGCCACTCAGTGTAGCCGACTGAAGGCTTTTCTCTCAGAGTGAAAGTACTTCACTGCACCCTGAGAGACATTCTGAAAAAAGAAATAAGTGTAAATAAACGTAACCATATTAGTTGTTGGCCAATTGATTTAAAAGTAAAATATTTTTGTTAAACTTAAAACTGCTTGCTTCCGTATGTTTGGCCGTTCAGGTGTACTAGCAAACACATCCCACCAATGCTATCTTCACATATGATTGTGTATGATTATGTAGCTAGAGACAGTCAGCTTACAACTGTGATACAAAGATACACAATACACTCTGGACCTGTTGTTTAAGTCTCACTGTTGGTGACAGTAGACTACCATAGGGGTGTGTACTGCACACGTTAAGGAGTTTCTGTTGAGTTTTCCAGTGTGAAAACACTATTCTCATTGGTGTGTGAGTTGATTACGTGTGTGTGTACTGAGGAGCACCCATCGGTATTTACAGCTGAGATATAATTATGGACTTAAGAACCACTCAAACAGTTGCATGGTCTGTGAGTCCGATTGAGGAGAGAGTGTTTTTGAACTTGTGCCACCCTGGTGATTTATGTACATAACCATAATTCCATGATCTGAATGGATTCAATTCTCAATTCTAGCAGGTTCATGTGTTCTGGAAGAGTCTCCCAGATTCTGCCACAGACATACCATCCTCATGCTCCTCAGGTGAGCACCAAGAGCAGGGCTTGCACCCAGAGCTATCAGGAGGGCTCTGCAGAAAGGTGTGATCCATAGAGTGTGCTTTGGCTTTAAATTAGTGAGTTTAACCTGAGCTATGTCTGATGTCAAGCCATCTACATTCTCAGAGAGAAGTGTTCCCTGGGTTTTTGTTCACCTGGCACCAGGCCTGAATGTTTGCAGCTACCAGCCTGATTAGGTTGATGCCAAGGCAGTAGGCACATAGAGCAACAGCTTATTACAGGCCCACTAGCCAGCAGGAGAGTTTCAAAAACTGTTGGTACCAAGTAAGCAAATCACCTGGGGTGAGGACAGTGGCATAAGGGTGACACATTCCAGGTTTGTGAGCGCTGATAGCTCTGGTGGATTTGAGTGAATTCAAACTCCGGTCCTGGGAACAGGAGCAAAATGGAATGATTAGGCAGAACATTGGCAATGGAGGGACATGCAAATTCTAGCCCTGTTAGTGCTAAAAGCTTCGGTGGATGTGAGGGTACTGGAGGGATACACACACTCCTGTCCTGTAGTCTGTAAGTATGCAGTCAGCAGCACAAGAGCAATAGAGGGACACGCATGCTCTGGCCCTGTTACCACTCCAGACGATGAGCTATGTCAGACACCAAGGTGTGTAGTCTAGCAACCACAAAAACTAGCTAGCAAGTCATAGGCTCAACACACTGACTGAGAATGAAATGTAGACAGAAGGAAAAGGAGAAAAAAGGAGTCTATCACAGCTTTGGAGGACAAAAAAAACTGTAGCTTCAACTATAGAGTAGCTGGTTATAAGTAAAAAACAAAACAAAACAAAAACATGGTATATTTTAAAATTCTCATGGACTCTATGATGTGATGTCCCTTCAATTTCACATTGAACATATTTATTGACATCGACCATAACTTACTGTACAAAGCAAAAATAAATAAACCTTTTCACACTCCACTCTAAAAATCTGAGCTGGTATGTGAGATGGAAAGGTGTGGACTAGATATAGTCTACCTTCACACAGAGTAAGGGCTCCAGTACCAAATTTCTTGATTATAACTCTATAATACCTGGTATACTCTACTACCACTGGAAGAAGATGCGTTAGTCCTCACCAGAAGTGGTAGAAGTACTTAAGGTCACAAGTCGAAATACTCATCTAAAATAATAGCCTCCACCGCTGAATATACCCCCCGCCAACCACAATTACCCCTACACTCAGACATACCCCATAGGTAATTGCCCGCACATCCACAAATAATACCTAGAGCAAACTTCCCCCACATCCCAATGCCAAAACGCCCCTGAGGTTACCCCTTTAACAAAGCTAAAACTAAAACTTATTAACTTTTAATGTTTAAAGTTTTTCTCTTTTAAAGTGAATTTCAATTCAATTTGATTTGTATAGTGCTTTTAACAATGGACATTGTCACCACAGCAATCACAGTCCCAAGCCATCCCAGTACAGTACAGCTCCCCATATGAGATTCCCAAGCCATCTCTATGGCCGCCAAGTGGCACCATCCCCAGAAATCCCACTGATCTTCCATGTGGGGCCGCCCCCAGCAGCAGCAAGCGATCTCAACCAATAAGAACTCCAACCCGAAGTAAGGCATCAGGATGGATCAGGCAGGTCCAGAGAGCAGAAGGCGTCAGGAGCACTGGTTTAGTGGGTTGTGTCAAGCCAACACCCAGTTTGTTCACAAATTCATCATTTCTATGTTTTTTTGAACCTTTACTACTCTTGTGCTACACTGGGCCATACAGCCTGGCA